TGCCGAGCGCTCGGGTCCGGCCCGGGTGGCAGTCACCGCTCCCCGGCGCACGCTCGCCTTCCCGGAGCCAATTCCTAGTGTTCTGCTCTTCTGTGGCATTATCATGTAATTTCATAAGGGGGTTTGGTTTTTTTTCTAAAGAGGATATAATTTCTAACATAGAACCATATGTATCTATATAATAGGCCAAATTCATCCTTGGCTGCTGCACAACCATCAGTAATTCGTTCAAGTCGATCTCAGCTTAAGTTTCTTGGCCCAGTATCTTTCCTTTCTTTGTGTATGATTTTAAATTGGCATCTCCCTCTATGCTGTTTAGCTCTAGGGATCAAATTTTTCTCTTGGTTGCATGGATGTAAAAGCAGAATACTTGTGTGGGTATAAGTAATGGTGCTGGGTTGAGAGTAGGAAGGAGGGTGGAACTTAACCTCGCAGTGGTACTTTCTAGCTATTAAATAGATCAAGTCTGTCTTTGTAAGCAATATGGTATTCCAAATACAGTTATATGGATTAGTTCTCTTGGTTGCAAATCTTAATCAAAATCAGCTGACTTTAAACACTGTCTTAAACCACAGCGAGTCAGTGGTCTTGCAAATCTTTGCTTTTAATTCGGCTTTGATGTGAAATTATGTAGCTTCATTGGTTTTGCTGGTGGTACACTCACACAGCAGAGTATGTCCATGAGGTCTGATACTGCTTTTCTCAGATCTCTGTGTAATAGTGCATCATTTGAATAATACCTGTTTTACCAAGGCTAGGATTCATCTTGCATGACTTCTCTCAGGTTAGCTGGCTTGTCTAAAGCAGTCTTCTGGGTTTTCTCTGTGGTCATCTCCAGAGAATAATTCATCTTGGCTCTCTCTGGACAGGCTGGCTTTCTCTCAAAGCACTGCTAATTCTCCACTGTCAATAGAGGAAGCCCAGGAGACTGGCATATGATAGTTGCCTGTTTTAGATAGCTGAATTTAGAAGCAATGAATCCCACTTTTGCATATCATGGTGCCCGAACTGGGTACCTATTGTACTGCATTTTGTGCAACCCACAGCCAGTGATATTCCACCCAGTCAAGCCGATGAACAAGGCTGTTCAGGTGGTGCTTGAGAGCACCATCTTCTCAATTTCATGTTGTAAATCTTGGTTCATCGTATTAACCAGCCCTTCTGCCATTTACTGCTCGTGTGGTTTTGGCACATAAGCCCTGAGGCCATAGCTTGTGTGTTACTTATTGGTTTATACCCCGCAAAGCTCCCTGAAATCCATAACTTATTATCGTGTTAATTCAGACTAAAGGGGCCAGAAAGCCATCTAAGATATGAGCTTCAGTTTCATAGAATCATAGAATGGTTTGGGTTGGCAGGACCTTAAAGATCATCTAGTTCCTACCCCCCTGCCATGGGCAGGGACACCTTCCACTAGACCAGGTTGCTCCAAGACCTAGCCAACCTGGCCTTGAACATTTCCAGGGATGGGGCAGCCACAGCTTCTCTGGGCAACCTACCTGAATCCCCAGGTTTTATCTTCTGTCAAGGATGTTCCTTAATAATCGTTCTCATTTATAGTTTTAAGTTCTTCTGAGCCTGAGCCCTCCCCAAGCCGACCTTGAGAAATCAAGGTTAGCAGCTTTAATACACCATTGACACCTAATTGAGCCTGGAAAATAAACCCTTTGCTTTTAATGCCTTTGGCAGTACCTAGAACAGGTAAAATGGAAATGGTAATTTCGTTTTCCAGTGTCAAGCAAATAATTCAAGCCTTCTTTCCTTTCTGTATGAACATTTTAGAAGGAGCTACAAGGCTCTTACAAGAACTCAGTGTATTTCTGCTTTACTGTTGCCCAACACTACGGAATTAAACTGCCTTTGTATGTGAAAATTTTTGTAAACCCCATCCCTGCTAATTAAAGATGCCCTCATAGTGCTGTCTTGAGTGAAAGGCATTAGAGATGTGAATACAAATGGATTTTTTCACAATGTCAGACTAAGACTTTATTAGAAAAATTATAGCAAAAACATTCTGAGAATTTTAAGGTCATAATCCATGAAGTTTTGACTGTCCTTTTGCACTTACAGAATGTAAATGAATATGTAATGCACACATGTATAGGGAAAATGATGAAAAAGGAAAATTCGCTTGGTCTAAGAGCTAAATATGAGTCAAGCTGGGACCTTCTACCCTAAACCATCCCTTTCTTGTCTTGCATGTTAGTGATTTGATAACACCTAGTCATAGAACCATAGAATTGTTAAGGTTGGAAAAGACCTTTAAGATTGTCAAGTCCAACCATCAATCCAGCAGCACCACCATGTTCACTATTAAACCATGTCCTCAAGTGCCACATCCACATGTTTTTTGAACACTTCCAGGGATCATGACTCCATTACTTCCCTGGGCAATCTGTTCCAATGCTTCACAACCCTTTCTGTGAAGAAATTTTTCCTAATACCCAATCTAAACCTCCCCTGACACAACTTGAGGTAATTTCTTCTCATCCTACCACTTGTTACCTGGGAGAAGAGACTGATCCCCACCTGGCTACCACCTCCTTTAAGATGGCTATAGAGAGCAATGAGGTCCCCATGAGCCTCCTTTTCTCCACATTGAACACCCCCAGCTCCCTCAGCTGCTCCTCATCAGACTTGTGCTCCAAGTCTTAAGAGGAGCCTCATTCTCCCCTCTCTGGCAGAGCAAGATATCTACCATTCTCATGAGGATGTCTCAGATACCCTAAAGTAACCAAATGGCTAATACCCAATCTTAGTCCAGCATTTTCCTCTTAAAAGATAAACCTGCCTAGCCAGGTCAATCAGAGAAAATAAAAGAATAACCTTTTATAATTTTAACAGGACGGACATTTCCAAAGAAGGGTCAGACGTGTGTGGTGCACTACACAGGTAAGGCATGTTCTGAATATTTTCTCAATACCTACTACCTTGCGTTCAAGAGCGATTTCCCATTTCAGATGTTGTATTTTTTGCTTTTTTTCTGTTACTCATAATCCATTGGTTAATATTCCTGTGGGTTTCTAAATATTTCATGTCTGGCTAAGCTGTTCAGGCTATAGTACCTAGATGTGCATGCTGGCAGATTTGCCAAGGGTTGTGTTCGATGGTGAGAGGTTTGCAGATGAAGCTGCAGACTTGATTCTTTAAGCTGTTTTACTAGCTAACGAATGGGTCAAGGTCATGGAGGAGATCATCCTGAGTGCCATCACAGGACACATGCAGGGCAACCAGGGGATCCCATCCAACCATCATGAGTTTATGAAAGGAAGGTCCTGCTTGTCTAACCTGATCTCGTATGACAGTGACCCTCTTAGTAGATGAAGGGCAGGCTGTGGATGTGGTCTGTCTGGATTTCAGTAAGGCATTTGACACTGTCTCCCACACCATACTTCTAGAAAAACTGGCTGTTCGTATCCTGGATGGGCGGACTCTTTGATGGGTAAAAAAAGTGCAGGGCCCAGAGAGTTGTGGTTAATGGAGCTAAATCCAATGGGCCTGAGTCACTAGTGGTGTTCCCCAGGGCTGTGTATTGGGGCCAGTCCTATTTAACATCTTTATTGATGATCTGGACTTGGGGATTGAGTGCACCCTCAGTAAATTTACAGACAACACTAGATTGGGTGGGAGTGTTGATCTGCCTGAGGGTTGGAAAGCTCTACAGGGAGGTCTGGACTGATTTAATCAATTGGCTGAGGACAGCTGCACTTGGGATACAACAGCCCCATGCAGCACTACAGGCTGGGGGAGGAGTGGCTCGAGAGTTGTTCATCAGAAGAGGACTTGGGAGT